AGCAAGTCTTGTGGCGGTAAGAGGATGATGATAATTAATCAAGGGAACAGGGGAGGATGCTGCCTTAGGTTGAAATCCTGAATGTGTATATGTATATATATTCCTGCATGCATAAGAGGGTTGGTGATGAACTTTAGTTCTTCTGTAGAGAGAGAGGGGTAAATGAATTTAGCTAGATAATTAAGTTATCAAGGGTTAAAGTGTTTATAGTGGGTATGGGATAATTAGGCCCGGGTCTGCATGTGCTAAAGTGGTTCCAAAAATTATTGTGCATGAGGATATATATATATATATGTCTTTATGCATAGGTGATGATGGCAATGATTATTTATTTATGGGAAAGGTTTTGTGGTGGTGGTGTTTATCCTGGAAACGGAAGCAATTTGAGTAGGCTATGCGTGAGGTGGAAGTAGGTTATTTAAATAGAATGTTAGCGTCGGGTTTAGTAACATGTACGAGTAGAGTTCTAAATATAAATAAAACAGAAAACAAAACCATTACATTACATTGTTATTTTAAATTATACGATTAGTAGTTAATTGGTTGTCTACGGTTAATGGGTGATTGATATTGAATCAAATGTGGTTTTGTAACTTCTTAAAGGTGACAACGAGCAGGCCAGAGCTGCAAGGAAGGGCAAGGGTATAGCGGAATAGAAAATGTGTAGTGAGTAAACTCTAACCTATTAACCGTATGGATACAAATATGGTATTCGGGTCATGAAGCGGCCTGAATATAAAATATGAAATGTGGAATTAATCGATGGCGATGACTATATGTGTGTGAATGAAATGATATGTGATAAATGATGGGTGGATGTGATGTTCGTATGACTATTTGATGATATGTGTGATGTGTATGTGATATGAAATTGCCTAAAAGGGATATATTACAATACAGAGAAGACTATGAGGCAGTGATGGAATAATGAATGGCCTGAATGACTATACGAGGATACTGGGATAGCCTAATTGGCTATCGTGTGATTACTGGAAAGCCTATAAGGTGGAAATGTGAGATTGAAGCCTATAAGGTGACGATGTGATTATATAAATGGTGAATGTGACTATGTGAATGTTATGAATATGTGAATAGACACGTGTGAAATGATTGATGATACTGTTTGGTACTTGTTATGTGACTAACTAAAGAATTGTCTGATCACCTAAATCAAACTTAATGGCGCCATGTCATGCACTCTATGAGATTCGATAATGCGGCTTTATGCCTAGCTCTCTGGGAGAGCGATACCAGGCCTGGTCATTGGCGATGCTTAATGCATCTATTGGCGGTGCTTTATGCATCTATTGGCGGTGCTTAATGCATCTATTGGCGGTGCTTTATGCATCTATTGGCGGTGCTTTATGCATCTATTGGCGGTGCTTTATGCATCTACTGGATATACCCGGGAGAGTGCATGACTTGGCAATTTAAAGGCAAAAAGATACGTAATCTGGCTAACCCTATGTGTGTGTATGAATGGGTGTACTAGTGTGTGTGTGTGTGATTGACTATTGAATTGTGCATGGTTACATGTATGGTATACCCTGAGCAATGTAAATACTGAAATTGGTTATCTCGGGAAACTAAGAGATTAAGCATAGGGTTTGACTTCACCAGATATTATATTTGCATTGATACTGTTAATAGGTTAGCTTTTACTCATTGAGGTGACGTCTCATCCCCGTCAAAAAATTTCCCCAGATTAGAAGTTTTGGACTAGAAGTCAAGAAAACTCGGCAAGGCTCAGTTCGGCATCAATGAGGTGGGATGGTGGACTCAGACTTCGACATGACTTGTTTATAGTATTTTGAGAGAAGATGGTCTTCTCTACTGTCATGTGTTTAGAAGTTTTAAATGTTTATGTAAATTATGGTTTGGTTTGTAAGCTAAACAAAATTGTGAAAGGTTTTAATCGGTACGATCATGTGAATGTTTTAAAGAATGCATGGGTGTTACAAAAACCGTCTGAGAGTAACTTCCAGAAAGAACTGCTCCCCTTCTTCCTCGGACTTGGTTGGTGTGTCCTTGCACGTGGGATGATCGGCAATTGCTCTGTTAACCACCTGCTCTTTATCTTGGAACTGTCGTCTTGTTACTTGCCTCTCCCACATGGCTTGCTTTCTTACTTCCAACTTGTTAGTTCAGATCTTGGACATGGTCTAGACCGGCGATTTTTTACCGTGTCAGCCGGTTTTTCCAGGTTAACCGGCACAAAGCGAGAAACCGCCCGGTTTTGTTCTAACTGGCGGTATCCTATATCCAATAAAAAACGTTGCCGTTCTGAAAAAAGAAAAAATTGCGTCCAAATAACGAACACCCAAAATCAAAACCCTAGCTCTAATCAAACGAGTGCATCGCATAAGGTTTTCATCGTTTCTTTCTTCCCCAGCTCTGCTCGGCTCTGCCCGCCCCTCCTCTTCTCTTCTCCTTCGGTGAGTGGCGACTGACAACCCGCGACCGGAAAGATCAACGTGGAGACCAACGAAAGTTCTAGCCGATCCATGCAACGCCGCACCGCCGCTCCTCTTCTCTTCTCCTTTGGCGAGTGGAGAGTGGCGACTGGAGATCCACGAGGCCACGATTGGAGAGATCAATTAGGCACTGCCTTTGATTTGGCTTTGAGCGCGGGGGTGGGGGGTGAGATTGAGTTTGCGATCGGATGCTGTTTGGTGAGGATATGTGAGAGAGAGAGAGAGAGAGATGGTAGATGGGGAAAGGGTGCACGGGGAGGATTAGTAACCTATTAAATGATGGGAAAGTTTTTTATAAAAAATAATTATTGTTTAAAATTTCTTCTTTTTTCAATTAATTTGCTAACTACATGTATTTATTCATTTATTATCCGGTATATTCCGATACATCCAGTATTACTTCGAGACGGTACCATGATTTTGGCGGCACCGTTTTTTGACAAAAAAATATATTTTATTATTACAAAAATGGTATTTACCGGTACGAAACGGTTGAACCACGATCGTACCACAAAATACCCTACCAGAAAGGAGATATGATGTCCGGTACGGTTTCCTTTACCATGGTCTAGACTCACGATGTGGTATAGATCTCGCGACCACGTCGGGCTCTAAACTTGACGCCAATGCGGTCTAGATCTCGCGATCACGTCGGCTCTAAATTTGACGCCAACATGGTCTAGATCTCGCGAACATGTTGGGCTACCCAACTCGCGACCAGACTAGCTCCTTCATGGAGACTTACGGGTCGTTTGCTTCATGGATTTGAAAAATGAAGGTTTTGGTAAAACCTGGGTTTTGGAAAACCATGGATATATGATGGATTTGGTGGCATTATGAATTTGAACAAGTCTATTGTTTGTTTGATGGATTTGATTATGGACTTTGTTTGATTAGATTTGTGGATATTAAGTACAAATTACCTAGTTACCCTTATTTAATTATATTTCTATATTATAATCCAAATCTTTCATTTAAAACTAATCCAAAGCATAGAAAGAAATTTTAAACTCTTTACCACTATGTGGATTAATAATTCAACTACAAATATAGAAATGTATTACAATTTGGCACTAATTAACAATTCATCTTGGCACTAATTAAAAATTCATCTAATAATCCTTCATAAAAAAAATAATTCATCTAATAATGTACGCATTATTATGTATCAATTGCAGCCAATTGCTCGCTTTATTGCTACAACTCATCATCTTCTTGCTAACTCACCGACGTGGAATCCGACAATCAATCAAATAATAATGTACAAGATGAGCATAAAGTGTTTCTAGGTGAATCTAACAAATCACATATACATTCATATTTAAATAAAATACGATATTACAAAATGAAATGATAAATTCTCAATTTTATAAAATACGAAATTATAAAAGTTTACAGTTGCATGACCATTGAATTAAAGTAGGACAAATTTATAATTAAAGAAATAATTAAGGGTAGAAATGTAATTTACCATCATGGATTTTAATCCATCACCCAAATCCCACCTCAAGAGGTGGAACTTCCAAGTTCGTGGGGTCCACGGATTTGGAACCCCAAAAGTGGTGGGGCCCATAAATTTCATCTCCCTAATTCCCTAACACTCTGTTCACTAAGGAAGGAAATGGAGGGGAAGAGAAAGTGAAGAAGGAAAGTGAGATTCTCAATAAGTTTTCCATTGTTTTTTAAGGAAGGAAAGTATGGAAGGAGGGAAAACTTTCCACCTTTTGTACTGTTGAACCCTCCCCTCCAATTTGGAGAGAAAGGAGAGGGACACATACATGGTTCTTTCTTTTGTCTTTCTTTTCTAATATTTAAGTCCATTAAATACTTGTTTTCCTTTCCCTTTCATTTTCCTTTCTCTCACCTCCTTTTCCTTCCCCTTTCATTTTCCTTTCTCTCCATTTTCCTCCCTTCCTTCGTGAACAGAGACAAACGATGGATTTCGGTTCAAGTCCATGATGGATATATTTCCATGACCAAATCCATCACCAAAACCCTCAAGCAAACGACCCCTTAGTGATTTTGACTTAAAAACTAGTATCATGAGGTCCAGTTTAAATAACATTAATTGTCATTAATGATCTGATCTCATAAAGACAGTTAATACCTTGTAAATAATCAATGTGATACAAGATTATTTTTTGGGTGTAAACAATAATATTTAAGTTACTCACGATGGTTTTTTACAGTTTGCCGAATTACTATGGTAATCATTTTTATCACCCCTAAATTCCCGTGAAAAGTTAGCGAGAGAAAACAAATTTATTATGAACCAATTTGTTAGTGGCCCCAAGTTTGGTGACTGTATTTGTAATGACTATCGAAGAAGTCGAAGACAAATAGACAATGAACGACCGCAGCCGAGTTGAGCCGAGCCAGAATCTGGCGCAGATTTGACCGCCGCTGATCGCCATGGCTGCTGCCTGCTGCTATGTGTTGCCTCCTCTGATTTTGTCGGTGGATTTACACTTACTAGCATTTAGCAGCAGCAGCAAATCTACATTTCTTCCTTTCCCGTCATTTTATCCTCCTCCATTTCCGCTACTCATATCTCCATTGATTGCTGATCTTTTGCTTCTCCTCTTTTCCCTTCTCTTCTCTTCTACGCCATCCATTTCTTTCTCCCTTCCCCCACACCTCCCCACATGCCCTTCTCCCTCCCTCGCTCTCTTCTTCAGGTAAAAACTCCCACACCCCGCATCAGGTGTTCAATCGCCTCGATCCCCTTTTCTTTTCGTCCCTTCCGTTTTGCTTCACTTGCATTCCGATTTCAGCGTCAATGGCGGCGGGATGTTTGTTTCTCAATTGCTTCAGGATGTGTGTGTGTGTGTGAGTGAGTGAGTAGCTGAAGTAGAGTTGAGTCGGATCCGTGTTTGTTTCAGTACTCTTGAGTGATCAGTTAGTGGCGGCAATTCACAGTATATCTTCCGTTACGTTTCTGCATTGGTTTGTTTCTATAATTGCAACTCTCTGCTCAAGCGTAGCCAAGAGTGTGGAGGCGGAATTGATCTCGATCTGATCTACGAATCTGGCATTTTCGCGGAATTGGACTTAATTTTTTGTGCTTCGGTTTTGGTTTTGTCTCTTAGCGCTTGTTTGGTTGTGGTTTCGCAGGGAGAATTGATGCTTTAACGTGCTTGGCCGGCGGATCTGGAGAGGGGGCGAGGTTTTTGGGTTGGTTTTCTGTGTGTTTATATATTTTGACTGACGGGGGAATCTTGAAGTTGAACAATGGCGGCTACACTGGCTTGGAGGTTCGGTGCCAGCAATGGCAGCAGCTATTCCCCAAATGATATGGTGAGAATTGATAAGTTGTCTTTGCTCTGCTATATTTGTTCGGCTCAATTTTCAGAAAACTGCGTACCATCTTTGAAATTATGGTTGCTTTTGGAATCCTGTTGGGAATGAGTGTGGAGCTGGGCTCAGATCTTGATAGCGGCAATGTTGGTCTCACTTCCTCTTCTTGGATTCTGTTAGTTGATGGGTTTCGCGATCACATTTACATTATATGAAAGATGCATAATTTGACATAAACAGCAAAAATGCAGACACTTCAGAAGCAGCTTAATATGGATCAAGCTTATGATAGTGATGCTTCACATCTTTGCAGTTTCCTTGATATGATAGTCCTCATCTAAAGTCTTTTTTTAATTTATGATAATCTGAATTACCTTCTTCTTCGCTTGAAAAGTGACAGTCTTTACTCATTTTGCTTCTTTCAGGATAAAAATGGCGATACTAAACTTCAAGATTCGGAGCCCCCAACCCCACATTCAGTTATGAAGATGAGTTTAAGGTTGGTCCTTCATCTTTTATTGTCATTAGTGCCAACAAACTCCCCCAAGGGTTGCTTCTTTCTCTTCGTTGGTGTAAATTTCCCTTAGATTGATTGTAGCATTGTCAATTCTGATGTCCATTTGGAGGAAACTTCTATGGGTAATAGCAATGTCTCGGACTGTGTGTTTCAGGTTTTCTCTGATACTATGAGATCGAAGATAACATACTGAGTCCCTTTTCTGTTGCTGTGTTGCATTCTCATTTCAATGATATATATTGTAGTTCAGTTTAGGAAACACGATTTCTAGATATCAATAGAGAAGAACCATGTAGCTGTTATCTATTTCAACGGGGTTTGACCAAATATTTCGTCTGGGCCTAGACTGCTTCGTCCAGATTTCTGTCAGTACTTAACTCCACCTAATAACCCAAAAATTCATGTGAAAGGGCCTTTGTAATGATTTCTGTGAGAAGCTGGCGACTTTGCTGCTTCAGATGTGTGCTGGATTTGAATCCCATAATCTTGTTCACCTGCTTCAGTGGATGCTTTAAATAGAATATTCTGTTTGCTGCAGTTTTGAACTCTTTTTATTGATCCTTTTAACTGCTTCTTCCTTTATTTTTTGTTTTTTGGAAATCCGTATTTTTACCGCTCCTACTATTTGTTCACTATTCTTGTCCTCAAGTTATTATGAAACGAGGATGTATTTATATGTGATGGATGTAGACATGATAACTTTTGTACCACTGATATTTACAGAGACCGTACCAGTAGCATGGAAGATCCAGATGGCACATTAGCCAGTGTTGCACAATGCATCGAGCAATTGCGGCAAAGTTCCTTATCAGTACAGGACAGAGAATATTCTTTGAGGCAGTTGCTAGAACTTATTGAGACACGGGAAAATGCTTTCAGTGCTGTTGGTTCTCACTCTCAAGCAGTGCCCGTGCTTGTTTCCCTTCTCCGATCTGGATCACTCGGAGTCAAGATACAAGCTGCTACAGTTTTAGGCTCTCTATGCAAGGAAAATGAACTAAGAGTAAAAGTACTGCTTGGAGGCTGCATCCCACCACTGCTTGGCCTTCTGAAATCAAGCTCTGCAGAGGGTCAAATTGCTGCAGCGAAAACGATTTATGCTGTTTCTCAAGGTGGCGTAAAGGATCATGTGGGTTCAAAGATTTTTTCGACTGAAGGAGTTGTACCAGTGCTCTGGGAGCTGCTTCGGAATGGGCTCAGATCTGGCAACTTAGTTGATAACCTTCTGACTGGTGCATTAAAGAATCTTTCTAGCAGTACCGAGGGTTTCTGGACTGCAACAGTTCAAGCTGGTGGAGTGGATATACTTGTGAAGCTGCTTACAACTGGACAACCTGGCACTCAAGCAAATGTATGCTATCTTCTTGGATGCATGATGATGGAAGATTCATCTATTTGCTCCAAGGTCTTGGCTGCGGAGGCCACCAAACAACTGCTGAAGTTAATAGGCTCTGGAAATGAGGCCCCTGTGAGAGCAGAAGCTGCCGGTGCACTTAAGTCCCTGTCAGCCCAGTGTAAAGAAGCAAGACGAGAAATTGCCAGTGCTAATGGAATCCCTGTCTTGATCAATGCCACGATAGCTCCCTCAAAAGAATTCATGCAAGGTGAGCATGCCCAAGCATTGCAGGAGAATGCTATGTGTGCCCTTGCAAATATTTCTGGTGGTTTGTCTTTTGTCATTTCGAGCCTTGGGCAAAGCCTTGAATCATGTTCTTCTCCTGCACAAACTGCTGATACCCTGGGTGCTTTGGCATCCGCTTTAATGATATACGACAGCAAAGCTGAATCAACAAGGGAATCAGATGCTGAAGCTGTGGAGAAAACCTTGGTTAAACAGTTCAAGCCTAAGTTACCATTTCTTGTCCAGGAGCGGACAATAGAGGCCTTGGCCAGTTTATATGGTAACCCTATTCTCTCTCTCAAACTCGAGAACTCTGAAGCAAAACGTCTGCTTGTTGGCTTGATCACAATGGCGACCAATGAAGTACAGGAAGAGCTCGTGAGAGCCCTTCTCATGCTTTGCAACAATGAAGACAGCTTATGGCGTGCACTTCAAGGCCGTGAAGGGGTTCAGCTATTGATATCTCTTCTGGGTCTTTCCTCGGAACAACAACAAGAATGTGCAGTTGCCTTGCTCTGTCTTTTATCTCATGAAAATGATGAAAGTAAGTGGGCCATCACTGCTGCTGGAGGCATACCCCCACTAGTTCAAATTCTTGAGACGGGTTCTGTCAAAGCCAAAGAAGATTCTGCAACAATCCTCAGGAACCTATGCAATCACAGCGAGGATATACGTGAATGCGTTGAAAGTGCTGACGCTGTTCCTGCATTATTATGGCTTCTGAAAAATGGAAGTGCAAATGGGAAAGAGATTGCAGCAAAGACATTGAATTATTTGATCCATAAATCCGATACAGCTACCATCAGTCAGCTAACTGCACTGCTGACCAGCGAGCTTCCAGAATCAAAAGTCTATGTTCTTGATGCTCTGAAAAGTATGCTCTCCATGGTGTCATTGAATGACATATTACGTGAGGGTAGTGCTGCAAATGATGCCATTGAGACGATGATAAAGATACTCAACTCTACTAAGGAAGAGACTCAGGCAAAGTCAGCCTTCGCTTTAGCTGGAATCTTTGAGACCAGGAAGGACTTGCGTGAGAGTAGCATTGCCGTTAAGGCTCAATTGTCAGTTATGAAATTGCTGAACGTTGAATCTGAAAGCATTTTGGCTGAGTCATCTCATTGCCTTGCTGCAATATTTCTTTCAGTCAAGGAAAACAGAGATGTGGCAGCAGTTGTGCGTGATGTCTCGTCCCCCTTGATAACACTTGCTAATTCTTCTGCTTTGGAGGTCGCTGAACAGGCGACCTGTGCTTTGGCAAACCTTCTTCTGGATGGTGAAGTTTTGGAGAAAGCAGTTTCCGAGGAAATCATTCTACCTGCTACTAGGGTCTTGCGTGAAGGCACAATTTCTGGGAAGACCCACGCAGCTGCTGCAATTGCTCGCCTATTGCATTCTCGCCAAATTGATTATGCTATAACTGATTGCGTCAATCGTGCTGGGACTGTCCTAGCATTGGTTTCCTTTCTTGAATCTGCTAATGGCGGACCTTCTGCTGTGGCTGAGGCGTTAGAAGCACTTGCTATATTGTCGAGGTCAAACGAGACGGCAGGTGGACAGATTAGACCTGCATGGGCAGTTTTAGCGGAGTTTCCTGAGAGCATAACTCCGATAGTCTCGTCAATAGCAGATGCGGCACCGATGTTACAGGACAAAGCTATTGAGATCTTGTCTCGATTTTCCAGAGATCAATCGGCTGTGTTAGGCGAGATGGTGGCTACTGCCTCCGGATGTATAGCCTCAGTTGCTAAAAGAGTGATCAATTCCAAGAGTGGTAAAGTGAAAATTGGAGGAGCTGCACTACTTACTTGTGCTGCCAAATATAGTCACCAGAGGGTGGTGGAAGATCTCAATCAATCCAATTCCTGTATCTATCTCATTCAGTCACTTGTTGCGATGCTTACTTCTGCGGAGTCCGCTTCTCCAAGCCAAAATGATGTTGATGATGAGAAGGAGTGCATCAGCATCTGCAGAACTTCTAAAGTAGAGGGTGGATATGGAGAGTCTGCTTCAGAGACATCTATGATTCATGGTTATAACTTAGCTATTTGGTTGCTCTCAGTTCTTGCTTGCCATGATGAGAAGAGCAAGATTTTTATACTGGAGGCTGGAGCTGTTGAAGCTGTGACTGACCGAATCTCAAATTGCTACTTGCTGTACAATCAGGTATACTCTGTTCTCACTTCTCTCGTTTCACATTTTCAAATGATAGGAATGCTAATTGGTTGTATGGTGCTTGTCTCGGTTGTATATGCAGAGTGAGCTTAGTGAGGATAGAAGCATATGGATATGTTCTTTACTACTGGCAATTCTATTCCAAGATAGAGACATCATCCGAGCACACGCAACCATGAAATCCATACCTGTACTTGCAAACTTACTGAAAACAGAAGAGTTCGCAAACAGGTACTTTGCTGCGCAAGCAATAGCAAGTTTGGTCTGCAATGGTAGCAGGGGCACTCTTCTCTCAGTTGCCAATTCCGGTGCTGCTGGTGGACTCATTTCTTTACTGGGCTGTGCTGACGCTGATATCTCCGACCTTCTGCAACTCTCAGAAGAGTTCGGGTTGGTTCATTACCCCGATCAAGTGGCTCTCGAGAGGTTGTTCAGAGTCGAAGACATAAGAGTCGGTGCTACTTCAAGGAAATCCATACCAGCCCTCGTCGATCTACTTAAGCCAATTCCCGATCGCCCTGGAGCACCTTTCCTGGCACTCGGCCTCTTGACTCAGCTCTCAAAAGACTGTCCATCAAACAAGATCGTCATGGTCGAGTCAGGCGCCTTGGAAGCATTAACAAAGTATCTCTCCCTCGGCCCACAAGATGCAACCGAGGAAGCTGCAACTGACCTTCTGGGAATTCTATTCAGCAGTGCCGAGATCAGGCGACACGAGTCAGCTTTTGGCGCTGTGAGTCAGCTTGTCGCAGTCTTGCGCTTGGGAGGAAGAGGTGCTAGATACAGCGCTGCCATAGCACTCGAAAGTCTATTCTCTGCCGATCATATAAGAAATGCCGACACAGCCAGGCAAGCCGTCCAACCTCTAGTCGAGATTCTCAACACCGGACTCGAGAAAGAACAGCACGCAGCCATTGCCGCACTGGTTAGATTACTTAGCGAAAACCCATCGAGAGCTCTAGCAGTTGCAGATGTCGAAATGAATGCCGTGGATGTCCTCTGCAGAATCCTTTCGTCCAACTGCTCGATGGAGCTGAAGGGAAATGCAGCCGAGTTATGCGGAGTCCTTTTTGGCAACACCAGAATAAGGTCGACAATGGGTGCAGCACGTTGCGTGGAGCCCCTCGTCGCTCTCCTCGTCTCTGAGTATAGCCCCGCCCAGCATTCCGTCGTCCGTGCGCTTGATAAGCTCGTTGATGATGAGCAGCTAGCGGAGCTAGTTGCCGCACACGGCGCAGTAGTCCCTCTCGTTGGACTTCTCTACGGCAAGAACTACATGCTCCATGAAGCCATCTCGAGAGCGCTAGTGAAGTTGGGGAAAGATCGACCTGCATGCAAAATGGAGATGGTGAAAGCTGGAGTCATCGAAAGCATACTTGATATCCTCCATGAAGCCCCCGATTTCCTCTCTTCCGCTTTCGCCGAACTCCTCAGGATACTGACGAATAACGCCAGCATTGCCAAGGGACCATCTGCTGCCAAAGTGGTGGAGCCGCTTTTCCTGCTGTTGACCCGGCCTGAGTTTGGGCCTGACGGTCAGCACAGCGCATTGCAGGTGCTGGTCAATATCTTGGAACATCCACAGTGTCGAGCTGACTACAACCTCAATTCTCACCAAGCTATCGAGCCACTCATCCCGTTGCTCGATTCTCCAGCTCCAGCTGTGCAGCAGCTGGCAGCCGAGCTTCTATCACATTTGTTGTTGGAAGAACATCTCCAGAAAGATCCGCTGACTCAGCAGGTGATTGGTCCTCTCCTACGTGTCCTCGGTTCAGGAATTCACATTCTCCAGCAGAGAGCGGTGAAGGCGCTCGTCGGCATAGCTTTGACGTGGCCGAATGAAATTGCGAAGGAAGGTGGCGTGGCCGAGCTGTCCAAAGTGATCCTGCAAGCCGATCCCTCTCTTCCTCATGCGTTATGGGAATCGGCAGCCGCCGTTTTGGCCAGCATTCTGCAGTTCAGCTCCGAGTTCTATCTCGAAGTTCCAGTCGCCGTGTTGGTAAGGTTGCTCCGTTCGGGAACCGAAGGCACCGTAGTCGGTGCATTGAATGCTCTGTTGGTTTTGGAAAGCGACGACGGGACTAGTGCTGAAGCAATGGCGGAAAGTGGTGCCATTGAAGCTCTGTTGGAGCTCCTAAGGTATAATAGCGCGCACACTAACATGGTTGATATAGATTAACGTGAATGAATGAATGAATAAATGAGTAGAGTTCTTTTATAGCTCTAGTTGATGTTTATCCCTTACAGGTCCCATCAGTGTGAGGAAACAGCTGCAAGGCTACTTGAGGTGTTACTCAACAATGTGAAGATTCGAGAAGCTAAAGCGGCGAAAACTGCAATACTGCCATTATCGCAGTACTTGTTGGACCCACAAACACAAGGCCAGCAGGCAAGGTTGCTGGCAACTTTGGCTCTTGGTGACCTGTTCCAAAATGAAGGGCTTGCGAGAAGCAGTGATGCTGCATCGGCCTGTCGTGCTCTGGTGAATGTGCTTGAAGAGCAACCGACTGAGGAAATGAAAGTTGTGGCTATCTGTGCGCTTCAGAATCTTGTGATGTATAGTAGATCAAATAAACGAGCAGTTGCAGAGGCCGGTGGGGTTCAGGTGGTTTTGGATCTTATTGGATCGAGTGATCCTGATACCTCTGTTCAGGCTGCAATGTTCGTCAAGCTTCTGTTCTCGAATCACACCATTCAAGAGTATGCTTCCAGCGAGACTGTCAGAGCTATAACCGGTAAATTCTTCATATTAGCCGACTATCCTTCCATGCTCTTCCACTTGCTCATACAATTTGGCTCTTATTCTGTGGTTAACTGGTTCCGAATTGTTCAATAACTCCATTATTTTCGCAGCTGCTATTGAAAAGGATTTGTGGGCAACGGGAACTGTTAACGAAGAATATCTGAAAGCTCTAAATGCACTCTTCAGCAATTTCCCACGATTGAGAGCCACCGAACCCGCAACACTCAGCATCCCTCATCTCGTCACGTCTTTGAAGACAGGGTCAGAAGCAACTCAAGAAGCTGCACTAGACGCACTTTTCCTTCTCCGACAAGCTTGGTCAGCATGCCCAGCAGAGGTCTCGAGGGCTCAATCCATTGCTGCTGCAGATGCCATTCCTCTGTTGCAATACTTGATACAGTCTGGGCCACCCAGATTTCAGGAGAAGGCCGAGTTTCTTCTGCAGTGTTTACCGGGTACCCTGGTGGTTATCATCAAGCGTGGTAATAATATGAAGCAGTCGGTTGGTAATCCAAGTGTCTTCTGCAAGCTTACTCTGGGGAACACGCAGCCAAAACAAACAAAGGTGAGAGATCTTGGACTTCACTGCTGATCATTCACTTTTGATCCGACGCTATTCCGATTTGATAGGCTTCTGGACTGGGATTATGGCTATCCTTGACAAATGTAGTATTGGTCATTCACTCATGGGAGTACTGTTTTTCTTCACTGTCAGGTTGTTTCGACGGGTCCTAATCCGGAGTGGGATGAGAGCTTCGCCTGGACATTCGAAAGTCCTCCGAAGGGACAAAAGCTTCACATCTCATGCAAAAACAAGAGCAAAATGGGCAAGGTAATTGAAAGTCTGAAACCTTTTTCTTCCCCCTTCCTGAAATATATAGATCCAGCTTGTCACTTAACCAATTTCTTGGTCTTTTTTCTGATCACCCCCAAAACAAAAAACAGAGTTCATTCGGGAAAGTGACGATCCAGATCGACCGGGTGGTGATGCTGGGAGCAGTGGCCGGAGAGTACACATTGTTGCCAGAAAGCAAAAGCGGACCCTCGAGAAATCTGGAAATAGAATTCCAGTGGTCCAACAAGTAGTAACCAAACCAAGCGATTCATCAGCTGCACAACTCCCTTCCCTTTTTGTGCTGTTCATCTGTTAATGTACCATGCCCGTTCTTTCATTTTTTTGTTCTTTCTTACTGTACAAGTTTGAATTGTATTCGTGTGTAAATAGCTTGGAAGAAGAGATCGTTGTTTTGTGGTAGGTTGTCGTCTGCCGAGAGAGAAGCCATAAGAGAAGCAGGAACAGTAGAATTTTTGGGCCATTTTGGTCTGTCATAAGTGTATCATTATCATTCTTTTGTAGCTTATTATGTTTTCTTTGGTTTTCGGATAATCAAAACTCAAAAGACAGAAATCTGTTTTGTAATAGTTGTAAGTTCTGCACACTCGAATATATCATGTTTCATACTTAAGTTGCCAGTAGTGCTTATAAACAGTTATTTTGATAGTAGTGTAATTTAGGGATTGTTTGGAGAATATGAGTTTAAATCTATAGATTGTCAACAATTTAAAGATTCTAACTCTTCGGATTGTTGAAAATAGATTTTAAAATGTTTATTGTTTGGTAACTGTGATTATTAACATTCAATGAAAATAAAAAAATTTATTTTATATTAAAAAATTTATTTATCCTTAATAAAAAATTTGAGTGATTCGAGAAAATATTAAAAAGTTTGTTGATAAATATATTTAATATGATAAATAAATAAAAGAAAGAGAAAAAGTAGGAGAAAAACAATCTCACGAATCAACATATAGAATATTTCTCATTATGAGATATTTGATATCCATGGATTTTAGAGATTTGAAATCTCTAAAGCTAAAATCCACAATACAAAAAACAACAAAAAAACCTAACTTTTTACAAAATCTACAGATTCAATGAATACACACTCTAAATCGTTCTCCAAACGATCCCTTACGGGTGGGCAATGGGCGGCTTGGGTGCGTTTTGTTAGAAACAAAGTTTCTAACGGATTTGATATTTGGGGATTAGGGTTTATACGAATAGAATTAGGGATTGAGATTGGGGATTTGGGGAAGAAGAAGAATAGAATAGAGAATCGGCCTAGGCCTTTAGAGGGATTGAGATCGAGAATTGAGAGGATAGGGAGAGATTAGGGTTTAGGAGATTATTTGATAATTCTTTCTTGACTAATGTAACACAAACTCACAGTACATATTTATAGGGAATATGAGAAAACCCTAATAATAAACCTAATACGACTAAAAGACTACTAACTATAATAAGAATTAATCTAATAATAACGATAATAATAAATAGGGTTAATATTTTCGTATGGCCTGAACTTTGACCAAAATAAACATCCTGGCCAATCTTTTCGATCTATAACATCCTGGCCCGAATTATACACCAAAATAAACAATTTGGCCAAACCCGATGTTTGACCGTTAACTTGGACGGTCAAACACGTTGACTAACGGTCAACGCGCCACGTCATTGCCAAGCTAGAAGAACTGATAAATATTTAATTGTTTTCATTTTTTATTTTTGGTTTAACTAAGGTATTAGATGATTTTTTAATTTATAATAATTTAAAATTAGGGAATGTGTGGAAATTGTGAATTATTTTAAATATTTTATGCTGACTTGGCAGTGACATGGCGCGTTGACAAAAGGTCAACGCGTTTGACCGTCCAAGTTAACGGTCAAAAGTCGGATCTGGCCAAATTGTTTATTTTGGTGTATAGTTCGGGCCAGGATGTTATAGATCGAAAAGATTGGCCAGGATGTTTATTTTAGTCAAAGTTCAGGCCATACGAAAATATTAACCCTAATAAATATGCTAGAACACGAAAATTATGTTTCTAACATCTCCTCCCCCTTGAAACCAACCTTGCCCTCAAGGTTGATCAACTGAACCTACTTCTCCACTTTCATCACGCATTTCGCACATTGGTTCCTCTATTTCTTACGCTTCCTTTTCCTCCAGTCACGTTCAAACTCACGAACTAATCCAACCTTAGTGTCTTCAACTTTCATCGATCCTCTTCTCACGAAGTGTCCCATATCATCCTTAGGACCAAGACCCCACGAGTCCATATTCTTCTCTACAAACTCCACCAAAAAAGAACCCACGATCTCCCATTTCTTGTGATCTTCATCGCCAACCTCCTCCAAATGCAGCCACCCTTCATTCATGCGTGCCCTCTGCATGGTATGATAATCACCTTCCAAACCCCTTTCATAGTCATGCTCCCTCTTCTAACTAATACTTGCAGTAGCCTCTCCTGTTCAGAGCTTAGGAATGCTTGATTAGCAAGATCCTTGAGCCTATAACCCCCGTTAGGTGGCTTCCATTCCTCCTGATCCTTCCCAGATCGTGAGCGCACTAATGAAAGTAAGGAGTTGAGAAGCAATAAGACCTTACCTTCCTGTAGTTCATTCTCACCACTACCCTTCATCTCCTTCTCTTCAATGTTCCATTCCTGCCCACCCCAAGCTTCCTCAATACATAAATCCAAGTTGAACCCGGTGTTTACATTCTTGGATGCTTGCGGATAGTTCTCCTTCAAACGCGGGGGAATCCTGCCACGTATTGGCTCCTCTCTAGAAGAAACCCACTTGGCCCGGGGCACTCGGCCCAACCGCACTCCTCCTAGCTGGTCTGCTTGTTCAACCTTAGGAGACCTAGGGTTTGCGGACGGGTAGTATCCTCCGCCGCCCTCCTTTGCTTTGCTCGGCGACAGCCTCTTCACCCCGGCTTCCTCCGGCAACTTCTTTGTCCCCGAAAGCAACCCGGACTTCGCCGCCATTCTCAACCCCGATGATGGCCTCTTCATCTCGTTCTCCGACAAGGTCTTCTCCACCCGACGACATTGAGGTGAGCTCCACTCCGCTGTCAACGTCTCCTCGCCGATCGTCGAAGTCAGCCGGTGAACCACCATATCGGAATCTCCCTCCGACTTCAATCCCGCCATCGACATCTTCTTTGTTTCTTCCTCCGGCGAGTTCACCCGGCGGTTAGGAGTAGGAAACGACTTCTCCACCCCGTCCGGTGTGCTGGTCGCTTGCCCGCTTGAGAAGAGGAAAACATTGTCGCTCTCCTCCTCCGTCTTCTTCCCCGACGAGAAGAGGATGCCGCCGTGGAGCTCTTCCATCACCTCCTCGTCGGTGGACACGGCTGGAGCCGGCGTCAATGGTGCGGCCGATGAGGTCACGGGAGCTCCCTTCTCCGGCTGTGCCTCTTTCGTCTTTTTCTCCGGCGATCGCGCATCTTTTCCCCGGTTGGCGTCGATGCGGAACTTTGGCCACACCAAATGGTTTTTCCAACTTCTGGTCATTTCTCCACGACCGTGCGACAACCTTCCTCCAGAGCCCTCGTCCGTACCCTGCTCCTTCTTTCTGAACTTCCACTCATCAATTGGCAGGGACTTCCCTTTTGCTTGTGCTAAACTCGACGACTCCACCGCGAGTATAAATGACCGATCGACCTGCTTTCCCGGACTGACGGCGGTGATTGCGGTTGAGGGGAGCTCTTCGACCACAATGACGGTGACTGGAGCAGCCGTCGATGATGATGATTTCCCCACCGTGGCTGGGATCTGCATCGACTCCAATGAGCCCTTTGTAACTGGCGACTTCTTACAATCATCATGCTTCTCGAAGACAAGGTCAGCTATGGGCCTTTGCTTTTCCTTTCGGAACATCCAGTTAACCTTGCCATTCTTCTCTATTGAATCACTGGTTAGAGACTCAAGCTCTCTGAAAGTTTCCTCCAATTTCCGACCCGATTCAACAACCCTGTTCACCAGTGCACGCGCCCGCTCGTTCTCCTCGACTCCCACCGGCCTGTGCGTCTGCTTCTCCAGCTCCTTCATCGGCGACAGAAGGGTCCCGCCGCCGTCGTCCCGGTCGGCGACAGTGAGCGCCGCCAGCCGCGCGCCTCCGACGCTCTCGCCCTCCTTCCCTGCCGCGGCGCCTCGCGCCGATCCTTCCCTCCAGTAGTTCGCGATCTGCCACAACCTGTCTTGCATCTGAGCCCATTTCTGCTCTGAATTTTCCATCGCTGATTCTCTGGTTTCTAAGCTGTCCCTGATGGAGTTGAGAATAACTCACCGATCGGAACGGGGCTCTGATACCAGATGTTAGAAACAAAGTTTCTAACGGATTTGATATTTGGGGATTAGGGTTTATACGAATAGAATTAGGGATTGAGATTGGGGATTTGGGGAAGAAGAAGAATAGAATAGAGAATCGGCCTAGGCCTTTAGAGGGATTGAGATCGAGAATTGAGAGGATAGGGAGAGATTAGGGTTTAGGAGATTATTTGATAATTCTTTCTTGACTAATGTAACACAAACTCACAGTACATATTTATAGGGAATATGAGAAAACCCTAATAATAAACCTAATACGACTAAAAGACTACTAACTATAATAAGAATTAATCTAATAATAACGATAATAATAAATATGCTAGAACACGAAAATTATGTTTCTAACACGTTTTGGTCTCAAATTGACCCACCCGGTTACTAGCGAGTTGGAATAATTGTGACCCGCAATCCACCTACATACCTATGCGGATTGGGTTGGGTGGGTGACGGATGGGTGTGATTGGGTCATGGGTCAACTCGCAAAAGCAATTCTCCAATTAGCCATTAAGAAAGTTGGCTAATATTTATAATAAGTTCATAGCAAATTAGTAAGACTGTATCAATAAGTTGTGATTTTGATACAATTAATAACTTATAATTTGCATTCCAATATTTAATTGATATTAACAATAATTTGCATACCAATATTCAATATCTAATAGATATTGCACAACACAAAACCAATAATAGTAGTCAAAAGTATTCTTTATTCTCCACCTTGTGAAGTATATGGTCATATTGTAGTGCAGTTCGAAAATATGATGAATATTCTATACTATAATAAACAACATTTTTTCATGTAAAAATAGGATGCTGGTCATACGGGTGACCCATAATCCACCCAACACCCACCCACATAAGTGTGAGTGGAAGTTTTATCAATCCGCAATCCACCCACATAAATCACTTATTGCGTGCGGGTCGGGTTATTTGCGGATGGATCGATATCAATCCGCGGATTAACCACCACATGCCTACCCCTAGTTTAATTGATAATCGAGTCGGAACCAGTGATTAATGGTTATATAAATAGCCGAATGAACAGTAAACGATAGGTACTTGGTAGCAAAATTTAGCTAACTAATAACCAAAGGTTAAACGATTAGTCATTGACGGTTACCGATTAATCAATTAATGTCATCCTTATAGTTAACGTCGAAAAATAATAGGGCCTTCGGTGAGCCGCACACATAGGTCGAAAATAATGGAACATGTGAATATTACAAGATCCCTTTGCTACCCTAGTTGTAATAGTAATCTAGGTTCAAACGAGAATAATTTCAAAGAAGGGCTATTGAAAGAGAATAGTAAAAGGTTGGAGGTAACATTTAGTGTGTAATTCGGTTATAACTG